CTTTCTGATAGTTCAACTCATGATTGAAGGATAGCTTTGTACTTTTACCTGTTACATTTTTGTAGCAACAAGTGGCCACCTCTTCAGTACCAAAGCGTCAATAAGAGAAAGTGCAAATTTATTTATGTTTTGTGCACTTACTTTAAGATTGATTTCATTATCTTAATAATTCAATTCTAATCATTAATGTGTCGCTACATGTATCTTACGGTTACAAGCTTTGAGATCAATTCCTTTAGAGCACTATTAGTGCAAGCTAAAAATAATAAAATGAAGTATGAAAAGTTTGAACTCAAACGTGACTTTTTTCTATGCTGAACAAATGTATCCAGTTCCATATCATGGCAAGGTTTCATGCATCACATATTTGGCCCGTATTTACTCAAAATATTGCAATTTATGGCAAAATTTTTACCATGAAATTGTTAAAAATATAACTCAGGTCACTTGATAGACCACGTTGGCCTTTAAATTTTCTCATTTAACAGGTTGTATTCCTTCTTCTCTGGTTTAAATCTTACCTAATCAGTGCTATTTGTTCCTCTTTTAGCATGCATGGACAGGCTAATGTGAGTATTAGATGACCCCTCGCAACATCAGCCATTGTTGCCTGCTGATTTTTTATGGGAGATCTCAGTCCTCACACGAAGTGAGTTTGAGTCTCACTTGCAGACCATTGTTCATGCCTTGACCTTATATTGGCTTTGCCAAGGGTCTGAAAGTGCATTCACTTCTAATGGTGTGGGACTGGGGGTGACCATATGATATCCAGCAGGGCCTTCGGCATTATGCCGATGTAGCTTCATTAACATTAGTTCTTCCGTTGGCTCCGCCTAGTAACCTTCTGTTAATCTTTTTTTTTGTTAGACAAGACCTTTTTAATCGGCTCCGTCTTTCAGGTCCTTTATCTATATCCCACCTGGTGGTGATAATGAAACCCTAATGGGGTTAATGATGACAGTAACATTCGGTATCACATACCTTGTGTTATTGTTCCACTGGTCGCTTTACAGGTACCTTTGATAGACTGGAAAGGAGACTGTCATAACCTCCATCTTCCTCAAACCAGGAACTTTCATGATTATCTCAAGAGGAGATTGCTTTTCCTCCAGATAATGTGGTTTTCTTCTTAAATACCACTTTCAATAAGTGCCTCTCTCCACCTAAGAGGAAGCTTCGTAGCAGATTATATCGAAGAGCAATTATACCTGTCCTTCATTCTCCCTCTATGGGCAAAAGGATATTACTAGTGTCCTGGGCAACAAGTTCCCAGCCCAGATGAATTAGTGCCTCTCAAAGATTCAATTGTCAGTACTATCAAGCTCAGAACCCCTTATCCGATTATGGTCCGAGATCTCTCATCAAGGATTCACAGGTGAACCTGGTGAGCTGATACCAGTTCAGTCGGTATTAGAGGTGTGCCATTAGACACTAGCTCTAGTGGGAAATGCCTCCTTATATTAATGAGGCGAGGTGTAGCATCATAATCGACAGGGTGAAATACAAGCGCCCCAGTCTGGCTGCTTTTCTACAAGATATATGTAAGGAGGACTTTGCATAGCCAACTCGAGAGTTCTTTCGACCTAAGGTGAAGAGAGGTATACATGAGAGGGCTCAGACGATCAAGGCTTGCAACAACTCCTTAGGTAGCCTGGATCCTAAATCACAGAAGCGTTTTTTTGAGGAAAGGCTTGAGTGCAGCACATCAAGTTTTGCAAGACCACAGCCATACACAAATTGGAGGAGTCTTTCAACCTCAGACCACAAATAGTAAGTTCAGTCAGCCCAAACAACTGCTACGAAGAAGGAAACTTAAAACCATAGTCCATCCAACTAGATGGTGGTCGCCTCGTTAGTTATTTTTCAACCTGGAGGCAAGTAACATCCAATCAATGGTTTCTCCAGACTGTAAAGTGTTACCACCTAGATTTTCAGTGGTACCTCCAGACAACGTCCACTCAAATTTTTTAACAGGAGTGCCTGAAGCTTAACACCCAGGTGGAGCAGCTACTTCAGAAAGGGGCCAAAGAGAAAAACAGGACATTTTAGTGTTTTTCAGCAAAATGTTTCTAGTCTCCAAGAAGGTTGGGAGATGGCGTCCAGTTATGAATTTGAAGAGCCTTAACCGCTTTATATCAGTAAAGCCTTTCAAAATGGAGAACATTCTCAGCCTACGTGGTACCCTGAGGGAGGAAAATTTTATTGTGAAACTTGATTTGAAAGACACTATAAAATGGTTCCTATCTATTCAGACCACAAACAATTTCTGAGGTTCACTTCACAAGGAAAGCCATTCCAGTTCAGGACACTTCCTTTCGGCGTAGCCACAGCTCCAAAGGTTTTCACTAAGCTCCTAAAACCGGTGGCTGCTACTCTCACAGCATCTGTCATTCGACTTATAGTCTATATAGACGAAATTTTATCATGGGCAGCTCCCCTGCAGAGACAACAGAGAATGTACAGAGTACAATCCATCAGTTGGAAAGCCTGGGTTTCATTATATATTGGAACAAGATTGTACCTAGACCAAGTGAAACAATGGAATTTCTTGTGTTGCAGGTAGATTCAACCTCACTCACTCTCAGTGACACAGAATACAAGCTATCAAAAATTGCAAACGAATGTCAGCACTTTGTTCACAAGGACACAGTGTCAGGGAGGGACCTCGCTTACTTATTGGGTCTCCTGACATCTGTAAATACAGCAGTCATTCCAGGCACTCTTTATTACCGGGAACTACAACGATTGAAGCATCAGATAATTAGTCTATTGGGGAAAACTAATCGTTGCCATCCATCTTATTCATTTCCTTGTGAGTGGAATGTGACACATAGCGACAACCATTGGTCAAATGAGAACACTATGCTCACCTATCTTGAAACAATCATAATCCCTTATGTGGAGTCGGTTCGAGAGCGCCTAGGTCTTGATGAAAATCAATCTGCTTCAGCCATTTATGTTCATTTTAAAGCCAACTTACTGAGAAGGTATCCAAAGTGCTAGAGGATCACAACATTCACACTGTTCTTGTCCCACCATCATGTACAGATTGCCTTCAGCCTTTGCATATTTTGGTGAATAAATCAGTGAAATCCTTTCTTAAGTCAGAGTTTAGGAAGTGGTACTCAGATGAAGTTGTGCAACAATTGTCTGTTGTTAATGGTGATTTCGACTCTATTGATCCCATTGACCTTTCCACTGCAAGAATGAAGTGTGTCAGTGCCCGATGGATTGTGCGAATGTCTGAGTATTTGCAGAGCTGTCCTGATATTATTGCGAATGGTTTCAAGGCTATTGGTAAATCTATTGACGCTGGCAAGCCAATTTTAGATGACGACGGAGATTTTGAAAGTGCTGATTCTCATAATGGCAGTGATGATGAGAGTTGTGACTCTGTAAGTGCCTACTTTAGTAGTGCTGATGAAGACCAATAAGTAACTGCAATCAACTG